GCGCTGCCGGGAAGGGCAAGGTTACCACTGCTCGAGTGCCTGGCCCGTGCAGGGGACGGTCAAGTGTTCTGGGGCCATTCCCCACGTTGTCTGACTCAGTCCCTCCCACAGCCTGTGAAGTCAGTAGGCTTCTCCCTAATTTTCAGATGCTAAAAATGGGGCTCAGAGAAGCTGAGTGATTCGTTCAGGCTCACACAGACAATTAAATGGAGCCCAAATTTAAAACTGGGGGTGGGGGCAGATCCTATGAGCTAATGTCCCCTTTTCTGTGCTAATGGCACCTGATTTTTATGGAAACTGGCCGGCCCCAAGAGATGCATTCTGACTGGTCTTGGCCGGTCACAAGACTCCTGTCCTCCTTTGCCACTGTTAGTATGGGGCGAGCCTGGGACCCCTTCTGGCCAATGAGATGGGAGAGAAAGCGGCGGGAACAGAAACTTCTGGCAAAGATTTTCTCCCTGATAGAAAGGAGAGAAGAGTTCAAGGACAGGTCCCCTTGGCATCCTCTGCCTCTCCTTCCTGCTGGTGGACATGTTGTGGGAGGGTAAGGCGTCTGCCTGTGGCAGCCTTTTCAGATCCATGAGGCAATAAGGATAAAGCCAACCAGCTGAAGATGCAATGGAAGCCTGGCACGTGCCCAGGGCCCGGATGACACGGCTGGGCTGTCCAGCCAATCTTAGGACCTCCTACCTCCAGACTCCTGTTGAGTCAGCAGCAAACGTCCAGATGGTGGAAGCCATGGTCCGTCAGGACTTTATTAGTTATTTTCAGTTAAACACCTCCTAAGGTAAACCCTGGGTTGGTCTAACTTCAAAGCCCATGATCTTTTTCCTGTTACCCTCTGATGTTTACACGGGGTCCAGTTGTCACCCAAGGTCCGGTGTCAAACTACTGCACAATAATTACAGAAATGATCAGACTTCGAAACTGAAGAGAAAGCTGCCAGTTTAAAGAAGGACAGGGGGTCAGTTCAGCAAGGTCAGAAATCTGGCTTCTTGGTTGTGGCTTGGCGTGAATCCTAGCATCACGGGACTTCCAAGCTGGAAGAGAACGAAACGATCACCTGGTCCAACCCTGTGCTCCAGAGGACGAAGCTGAGGCTGTGAGAAGCTAAGTGACTCATGCCGAGGCCCGAGGGCAGCATCGGCCCTGGGACGGGAATCAGCACCCCGCTGGCCCCCGCTCACACGACCTCTCCTCGCTCCCCACACAAACTCTTCATCAACTTTGCCCCAAACTCTCACTGGCCAATCACCTCAAGTCAAGAAAAGACTGTCAATTTAATCATATTCTTGCGACAGGATAAACCCCGGCTTCTTTCACACGTATTCCTTGTTGAGTCAAGTCACCAGCCTGTTCCAACGCGCTCAGCAGCTCACCATGCCCAGAAAATGGAAAGAACCCAGAGACACTGGGGGGCGGAGGGGTCAAGTTCTTGGCTTTTCAGATTAAAATCGTTTCTTGAATCCTATCACAGAGATAACTGTCTTGAAGGCAAGTGCCGGGCATTCAGCCGTCAAAAGACTAAGCGCTCAAGGGATCCAGTCAGAGGCGTTGCCATAAACACCGCACTGCGAGTCAGAGGACCACACGCCACGTGAAGACGGCTCAGGCTGCGGGGGAAGGGGCTCGGGTGCGGGGACGCCCTTAGAAGGGGACTGATGTCCAGGGAGAAGGGGCGGGGAGGACAACAGGGACACGAGACAGGCTTGAGGAGATGCAGACCCCTCTCAAGGGGAGTGGGGGGCCGGCACCAGATCACTAAGACAGGACTTTGGAATCCGAGGACAGAGGGCTCGGGCCTCCTAACTGTCCGGAGCTCTGGGAGGGCCGCCCGGCGCACAAACAGAACCCACGCCACCGAGGACTGGGCCAGGAGAGTCGAGGTGTTTTCCTGGAGCAGCGGAAGAGAGGCTGGTTGATAGTCCTGAGTCTCTCTCAGCCTCAGGGAGGCGGTGGAGGTCGGCAACCCTCCCGGTGCCCTGGAAGGCAAGGCCACGGGCATTGCCATGACCAATGCGAGCCTGAGGCCACATGGAACTGTGGCCACCTTGGTGGACACCGATAACGGACAGTTCTGGCCAGGGAATCTCATTAGGAACGGATGTCGACAGTGAAACATGAGAGAAAGACGTCATACCTCCCCAAATGCCAGTGCAAGCAGGGCAGACACTTCCCCTAGGTACCACCACCTCATGTGGTCATTCATTTACTACCACTAAAATGCTACATAACAAACCACCACAAGCCTGGGTGGTGTACATCTCAGGAGCCCGTGGGGTACAGCTCACCTGAAATGTGCCTCTCACGCACCTGCAGTAGCTGTGCCCGACGGATCTAGGATGGCCTAGGTCACACCTGGGGTGAGCCAGCTCTGCTCCAAGAGTCTCATTCTTCTCCTGGGTCAGCAAACTAAGGTAGGCATTCCTAGTATTAATGGCAGAGGAAAAGATCAACAAAGTCTAATCAATGCAAGTGCTTTTGGAGCCTCTAATTGCTTCTCATTTGCTAAGATCCCATTGGTCAAAGCAAGTCACACATTCAAGGCCAGAGTCAGAGTGGGTGGGCACTCCTGACGGGGCGGGGGAGGGATTGGGCCACTCTTGCAATCTACCAACTGATTTAACTGATCTGAAGCACAAAATGGCTGCTAGATCATGAAACTGTCCACAGTTAACCTGTAATTTACCTAAATTACGTTTTCCGCCATTAGACAGAAATGGGACTCAGGATAAAAATTAAGTTTAATTGTAGAAAAGATAAAGTTACACTTTTTGCTCCTGTGATTGGTGACTGAGATTTTTTTCCCACTACATTCTTTAAGCCAACGATTCAAAAGCACCAAAGCAATCAGTAAGTTAGCCTTAAATACTATAAAAGCCAGTTTTCTGAAGACTCCAACCAAACCAGGAAATGATAGCCAAAGTTGATATGATGTTACTTCCAAAAAGCAAACAGAGAGGCAAGGGGACTCATTAAAAATTCCAATTTGGGACTTCGCTGGTGGCGCAGTGGTTAAGAATGCGCCTGCCAATGCAGGAGACACGGGTTCGAGCCATGGTCCAGGAAGATCCCACATGCCGTGGAGCAACTATGCCCGTGTGCCACAACTACTGAGCCTGTGCTCTAGATCCCATGAGCCACAACTACTGAGCCCATGTGCCACAACTACTGAAGCCCGAGCGCCTAGAGCCCATGCTTCACAAGAGAAGCCACTGCAATGAGAAGCCCATGCACTGCAACGAAGAGTGGCCCTTGCTTGCCACAACTAGAGAAAGCCTGTGCAGCAATGAAGACCCAACACAGCCATAAATAAATAATAAATTAATTAATTTTAAAAATTCCAATTTGGCTTACAACTGTGGATTCTGGAACAAAGTGTCCAGGAGCCTCTGACACTCCTCCTAGAATACCACCTTTCTAATGGCAGCCATCTCTGTAATTACAGCGATAATTGCTTCAAATGTAAAATACCACTTATCAGGCTAGAAGATCTGTCTGGGTCAAGACAAAAAATAACACTCAATTGCTTGTTGCCAAATGAATAATGTTTTCATCACTAAACCAGTCCTGGGGTATAATCTCATGTGTTATGGGTGGCTCAATTTAGGACCGACTGGAACACCAAACCCTAAAGACAACGTTCCATGTTGCCCCTCGTACCAGAGGTTCTTTCTCTGAACCTCTTTTTCGCTGAGCTATCCAGAGTAAAGGAAGGGCCACGGCCTCGGGGGGCAGGGAGTAAAACCAGAAGGGACTCAGATGCCACGGGATGAAGGAAGGGATTCCATAGGTTACAAGGTTGTGTCTGATGGGAGACGGGGTCCCCTCCATTTTCATAAAAAGCTTGCTGCACTTGTCAGTGTCTCTGCCACGTCCTGTCAGTTGCCTGTGTGTGTGTGTTTGCCCATGCACACACTGTTCTGTTCCAGTGCTTCAAAAATGTTTTCAGAAACAAAACGTTTGTGTCCCCTTTTTAATTCAAAAAACTTTATTTTTATTTAAGCATCAAGTGTGCATTATATTCCTACTTCTTATACCCTACAGCATACTCAGCAACAGAAATTTAGTTGCCATTCATCACCATACTCTTTACCTCTTTTGCCCTCCCCCCACTTCCCTTCTGGTAACTACCACTCTGTTCTCGTAACTACCACTCTGTTCTCTGTGTTTGCTTTTGTTTGGTTTGGTTTATTCATTTTGTTGTTTGTTTGTTTGTTTGCGGTACGCGGGCCTCTCACTGCTGTGGCCTCTCCCGTTGCGGAGCACAGGCCCTGGACGCGCAGGCTCAGCGGCCATGGCTCACGGGCCCAGCCACTCCGTGGCATGTGAGATCTTCCCAGACCGGGGCACGAACCCGTGTCCCCTGCACCGGCAGGCGGACTCTCAACCACTGCGCCACCAGGGAAGCCCCGAACCACCAGGATTTTGGCGTCAGCTGGGCCGCTGGAGCCGCGCGGTCTGGGGTCCGCCCTTCTTGGCCTCCACCTCTGATGCCCAACCTCTCCATCGCCAACCTCCGCGCCCCGCCCACACACCGGACAACGCCCACTGGGGACGGGGGGCCGTAGCTCTGGGATCGGGGTATTGGGGCCCTCCGTCTCCCTCCCGATTTCCGCCTTCACATCCTGAAAACTACCCCAGGAGCTGGAAACCCAATCGCAAGCACGGCCCCAGGAGCTGTGACTTGAACCCACGGGGCCGGCGGCCGCACGTGCAGAAGTTCCCCTCGCCCTCCGGCCCCAGGAAGGTGGTGTCGAGGAAACCCAGCTCTCCCGCGGGCCTCCTTTCTAAAGCTGACGTTAGAACCGGTGTGTGGGAGGCGCAAAACACCTGAGTTCCCAGCTCTGCCGCGCCTCCAGGGGTGCAGGCTGGACGCCTCGCGATACAGCCAGCATGGGAACTCAGGGTCCCAAGACCGCCCTCCACCGAGTCCCGGCCCCCAGCAGGGTATCCGCCGCCTGAACCCCCTCCCTGTGCCCCCCGCCCACTCTCACCCGCGCCCGGGTCTGGGCTCCACACGGATCCAGTGAAAGGGAGGCATCTTCAGTTCTGGATCCTTTTGAACGACTCCTGTTGGGCCTGCAGTCCCTGTGGGCCCGGGGCGCCCCTCTGGCCGCCGCCACAAACTACTCGGGACGGACCCCTCCCCCAGCGCCGGGCCACACCCTGATTGGCCCAAGGCCAAGCTGATCTCCGTGGCAGTGATTGGTTAGGAGTGGGCACGTGATCCAGTCTGGGCCGGTTTCCTGGCTCCCAACGCAGAGACCCTGAGAGAGAACCCCGTCCTCCGGAGACTGTGATTGGATGTGCAGCTGAGGGGGATGCAGAGACCCCACGGGACAAACCTGGTGCCACCCCACCTTCAAACGCCCGGTGTGAAGTAACACATTGCCTCATCGACTCCGCCAGCTTCCGTCCTGCTCTTCCGTTCCCTCTTCTGGAAGCATCCAGATTCCCTACACAAATGCTGAAAACACCTGGGCGTTTCCAGGAGTCAAGTCCTGTTTGGCTTGTGCCTCGTCTCACCGGGGCATTTCCCTCCTTCCTCACTTGCATGCTCTTTGCTTGACCTTCTGTAGAGAGCAGCTCTTTAGGGAGCATCACAGCTGTCTCCTCTTCCACGCAAATGCCCCCACCACTTAGGGAGAGCCAGAAGCATCAAGAGGCTGCCGTCTCCTGAGCCCTGCCCTGCGTCAGGCTGTGGGCTGGGGCTCCACACGCTATCCTTATCTTCTTCTCCAGGACTGTTATTATCCGGACTTTACATACTTGGCACTGAAGCTTGGAGAAGTTAAGTGGCTTGTCCAAGGTCACAAAGCTGGCAGGTGACAGAAACAGAAATTGAGCCCTTAGTAGGCAGGGCTGCTCCACACACCTGCCTGCCTACCCGCCCCCGCAAAAGCCCTCACCCTGACCTGCCTTCACAGCAGAGGAGCGGGAGTTCGGGGGCTTCCACTGTGTGGAAGGGAGGGGAAGGCGTGTCAGGTACATTGCCACACTCACTGTGTCACAAACCACCAGGTGTCCTCGATGACGTGACAATGAGCTAGGCATCCCTGCCTCTTTGGCTCTAGGCTTGCCCATGTGGCTCGCTTCAGCTGTAGGCACCTGGGGAGAGTGACGTGATGGTTCCTAGGAGACCCTGTCCGTTCCCACTTGATTTCTTGCACTTTTGCCATGACTGTGAGAAAAAGCTTCCCTGGAGCAGCTGGTGCCCCTTGAGCCTGGGCCCAGCATGCACACCTGGAGTAGAGGCATCCAGCTGACCCCAGGCTCTGAAGGGAGAAGCTGAGGCTCCCAGCCACACCCAGCCTACAGCAGCAACTCCCGGTCAGGTGCAGACATTGCCCCAGCTAAATCTTAGCACATGTCACTGAAGTTCTTGGTTGTTGGCTATGTGCATGGGGGTGAGGGTCACATGCGCTCTGTTTGCACCTGTATTTTCATAACTTGTGCTGGTTTGCCACATCTTTGACGAAGGTGTTTTGGCCTCAGAGTGATACTTCTAGAAGACCTTGCGGGTAAGGCACCTACTAGAGCAGGGGTCCCCAACCCCTGGGCCATGGACGGTACCAGTCTGTGGTCTGATAGGAACCGGGCCGCACGACAGGAGGTGAGCGACAGGGGAGCAAGCGAAGGTTCATCTGTATTCACAGCTGCTCCCCCGTCACTCACATTACCACCTGAGCTCCGCCTCCTGTCAGATCAGCACCGCATTAGATTCTCACAGGAGCGCGAACCCTGCTGTGAACCGTGCGCAGGAGGGATCTAGGTTGCTCGCTCCTCATGAGAATCTAATGGCTGATGATCTGAGGTGGTGATGCTAGTGCTGGGGAGCGGCTGCAAATACAGATTATCCTTAGCAGAGAGGTCTGACTGCACAGAGACCATAATAGATCAATTACTTTGTATAATTATTTCATTATAGATTACAATGTAATAATAATAGAAACAAAGCGCACAATAAATGTAATGCACTTGAATCATCCCGAAACCATCTCCCCATCCCCCACCATCTGTGGAAAAACTGTCTTCCACGAAACCAGTCCCTGGTGCCTAAAAGGTTAGGGACCGCTGTACTACAGGACCTGGTATAGAGCAGACACTTGGTAAATGCAGAGACGACGATGACCGTGTTGGGGGTGATGGTAATTCTGTGATGCACTGGGTAGAACCCTGGCTGCTCGGGACCACCCCTGAGCTCCCCACTCCCCTCCACAGAAGGAGAACTTCTTTCCAGAACTTGGTGCTACAAGGAGGCTCAGGCTTTCAACCCAAGTAGCACCTGTGTATCCCAGTCCAGTTCCACAGCAGCTGGCCCAGGCCTGAGTGGCTCTCTCTAACCGTATTTACCTGCTCCAGGCCTGAGTGGCTCTCTCTAACCGTATTTACCTGCTCCAGGCCTGAGTGGCTCTCTCTAACCGTATTTACCTGCTCCAGGCCTGAGTGGCTCTCTCTAACCGTATTTACCTGCTCCAGGCCTGAGTGGTTCCTCTCTAACCGTATTTACCTGCTCCTGGCATTCTGCTGATAAACACAGAAGATACTTTCTCAAAAAAAAATTAATGAGATTATTATAGAAAATAAATAATCATCAATTAAGGAAACTCAGAGAAACGTGGACTAAAAGGAACTGATACGATGGACTTTTTCATCTTGTTATTTCTGGCAGGAGGCCAGGACCTGACAAATACTGAGGTGATATCAAGGAAAAAGAAAAGCTGTCACCCTTCTGTGACCTCCTAGGCTTTCTGGGGGTGGGTTCAGGCCTCTCCCTTCTGTCCCCACTGGGTTTCCCAGTGAGTTTTAGGCCTGGGTTCGGGGTGCTGCCACTGTCACTAGACGGGGGCGTGGGCCACAAAGAGGCACAGGTAAGAACCGGATTCACTCACTCACTCGTGTGGGTGCCAGGCCCCCAGGGGAGAGGGTTCCCCTGTTCTCAGGAAGGTTACATTCAAGTGGGAAAGATAGACCCCAATCAAATAAAGGAAATGATTGCAGGTACTAACAAACATGGGCACCGTGTTCCTGAGAGGGGGTCAGCCCCCTCCAGTGGTGATGCTGAAAGAGGGTGGGGACCCGGAGGGCGAGGTGTGTGGGGACCAGGTCTGGAGGTGGCCACATGCCTTCGGCTCACATTCTAGAACCCCCATGGCCACACCTACCTGCCAAAGAGGCTGGGAAGTGCAGTCTGGTCGTTAGGCCAGAAGAAACCTGCTCTGTGATCAGCTGACGGCCTCTGCCACGCTGCGCGACGCGAGGAAGGTCCACGAAACCGAGGAGGTTGAGCCTGAGAGGATTTGGGAGGGTCCAAGGCGCGTCTTCAAGCGTTGGAAGGGTCTTCGTGTGACAGGGTCGAGGATCGTCTTTGTTTTGCGTCACTCTAAAGGGCAGAAGCAGGGCCTGTGGGTGAGCAGAAGCGCTAGGGAGATGGGAAGGGTGAACAGCCATCCCGGACTGCTGGGGTTCGGCACTGAAAGCCCAGCCCACCCCCGCCCCAGGAAGCCTGTCGCTGGGCAGACACAGGTGTGTCTGTCCTAGGAGTCCTCTCAGGCAACACTCCCTTCCCCTTCCCCCCCCCCCCCCCCCCCCCCCGCCCGCTCTTTCAGATTTGAATTATTGTGCTGTTGGCCATGAGCTCAATGTTAATGAGTCAACAATATATATCAAATAAGGTGTCTTTAAACAGAAATACCACAAAACGAGGTGATGTATTGATTCACTGATGAAAATGTTGTGGCCAGAGGCTCACAAAAACCCAACCCCGTATTTGCCCAGGAGCAATTGTGCAGTATTTGCTAGTTCAATGTTCATGGTGACTTTATAGAAAGCAACTAGCAAAAATAACAAGAATTGACTGTATAGCCACACAGTGGAGTATTTCTTGGCCATAAAAAGAAATGAGTGCTGAAACAGTGTGGATGAACTTTGAAAACATTATGCGAAGTGAAAGAAGCCAGTCACAAAAGAGCATGTATTAAACGATTCAATTTTATGAAATGTCCAGAAGAGGGAAATCTATAGACAGAAAGATTAGTGGTTGCTTGGGACTGGGGGAGGGAGGGGAGATGGTGAGTAGAGGAGCGATAACTAAAGGGTACAGGGTTTCATTCTGGGTGATGAAAATTATCTAAAATTAATTCTGGTGATTGGTTGCACATATCTGTGAATACATTTTGGATTGTACACTTTACATGGGTGAATTGTTATGGTATATGAATTATATCTCAATAAAACTGTTTAAAAAATAACCCTCAAGGGTAACTCACAGGCTCACAGGAGGGAGCAAAGCTGGGGGAGGAGGGCATACCTCAGCAGCTTCCCCCTCAGCATCTCCTGCAGCCTTCCCCTGTCTGCCCCTGCCCTTCACAGCTGGGCTCAGCCCTAGCCCCAGGTCTCCAGCTCACACGCTAGCAAACTGAATGCTCTCCTCACATCAGGAAGACTTTCCAGTGGACGTGCTCCGTGGCAGCCTGGGGGCTCCAGAATGAAGCAACTACTCCTCCTCTGATCATTGAAGCACAGTTTGGAAGATCAGTTTGTGGAAATGACAGAGCAGGGGTCCAAGCAGCCTAGAGCAGTGATTCTAGACGACACGACTGTAAGGTCTCTTCCAACCCAGAGAGCCTTGCATCAGTCAGGAATGCTTCTGACCACAAGTAACAAAATACCTGACAAACAGCAGCTAAGAATAAAGAGAGGTGACTATCTCCCACGGCTGGAAGTCTGGAGGTCGGCAGGTCCGAGATGGGTGTGGGTGCAGGTGCTGGACGGCTTCCTAGGCGCCCCTCCACTACCCTCAGCACTGGGCTGTCCACCCTAGTCCTGCCACTTACGGTCACGGGATACTGCCAAGCCACAAGCAACACAAGAGCACACAAAAGCATTCTTTGGGGCAGAAAAGAAGAAGGTACAAAAAGACCTTTTTCCTTAACTGACGTTGTCTTTACTGGGAAAAAAAAAAGTCTTTGCCAGGAGCCCCGTCAGCAGACTTGCCCTGTGCCTCACTGGCCACAACTGGGTCGCGTGCCCAGTCCTGCAGCAGTTGTGGTGCTGCGGTGATTCGCTTTGAGCTGCAGTGTACCTCGTGAGGTTGGTGTTACTGGACCCCCATCCCTCTCCTCAACCAAACCCAGCTGCTCCCGGCAGGGAAAAATGGGGAAGGAGAATGGCTGTTGGGTGGGCCATGAAGAGCACGGGGCACGTATAATGGAAGGTGGAAGAAAAACCTACCACGTCCTCTTGCAGGAATACTGTTGTGACAGGTTGAGAACCACCAGAAAAGAAAGACTTTGATGCCTGCAATTATGAGCTCTAAACCTAACCAAATTCCACCAGTGGGGCCTGCAGCTGTAGTGCGTTAAGTCCCCAGGGCTCAGGACATCGGGCCCTCGCCTGGATGGTGGCCAGAAGCACACAGCCTGCGGAAGAACGCCGGTGCAGGCACCTGCCTCCCCACAGGGCATTTCCTCGTCCTGAGAAGTTGAAACTTCACTTTATCGCCTTCTTGCCTCTGTTTGCGATGCTTCTGAAGTGGAAAGCATTTCGAAAGTGATCTGCTTGCATGGACACGGTGGAGTGATGGCTCATGCCTGGAGATGTGACGCGTCTGTGATGGGCAGTGCCTTCCACATGTGGGTGTGCGTTCGCAGACACACACCCTAAATATGCCCACCATGTCTTGTGAATACAGCAAAACAGCTGCAACCTTCTAAAAATTAATTGGTTTCTGGATCATTTGCATTTTTTAATAGTTTGCCAACAAAAAATAGCGAGAGGGGAGGGAATTTATTAATGTTCGAAGAAATTCTCCAAAAGGAGAAGAAATGAGCATTCTCAGCGAGACCCAGAGATGCTCATCTAAATCTTAGACTGCGTTGCTTTCCGCCTTTCCCGGGCAAGCCTGTGTGAGGGGGAAATTGATACGCAGCTCTAAAAGGAGACAGCTGCTGTGGACGCCCAGGAAGTGCCTGGGGCTTACATTATTTTATTCGGGGTCTGCAGTACGTTTGGTAACGGCCATTTTCAAGAAGCAACCAATTTCAGGGTCTGCCGTCACAACAGGCGCACTAAAAATAAAGTCAGCATAAACAGATTAAGAAATTGACAGAATAACAAGGCATAAAGAATTAGAATGAGCACACGTGCTCCAGATGACAGCACAGGGCGCTGTGCAGAGAGAGGGTGAGGGGACGGTGACGGCCGAGCTGCTGACTCAGGGCTTTGCACGTCTCCTGACCGCGGGAGAGCTCGGTCCAGGGGGCAGCGGCGCTTAATCTCTTTGCACGTTAGTGGCAGAGAAGGCTCTAAACTAAGGGAGGAAGCCACTGTTGTAGCGATTCCATTGTTTCGTAGCTGATGCCTCCTAAGTGACAGATTGGAAGTGTTGGAAAAAATGAATTTCTTCGGAAAACTGGCATGAGAAGCAAGGAAAAAAACGGATGTGCTAGATAGCAACTTACTGTGCTAATTCAGGGAGGTGGACTTCTGACCTAGGGGGTTCCCGAGCAGTCTTAATTAATCACCTGGCTAATCGCAAAGCTCTGGTTGGGGCTTCTGCCCCCACCCTGCCCCGTGTGCCTGGAAACCTCATTGTTTCCTTCTACATCCCAAGCTGGAAATGTCAGGGAGCCCGGGAGAACCCCCGATTCCTCATTATTTCACCACTCACTAATTCTAAGAGGTTAGCTGAATAGAACAGAACAACAGACATTGCTTTCGTGGGAATATCTTACGGAATTTTTTGGAACATCATTTCCCAACCGAGTTCCCTGGTGTTAACAGGTATTATTAGGTTTGCAAAAAAAAAAGGTGTTCTTAGCTGAAGTAAGTTTGGGGAAATTGCAGGTGGATTTAGCTCAGCAAGTGAATCTGCTGCATCAGGATTCTCCAGAGTCTTTAATATGATAAAGTGTGTTGTTGAATCTTACAGGAGGGATAAAGTAGACAGGTTTCTCAAATGAATTTTATCATTAAAACTGCCCCCTTTGGGGGCTTCCCTGGTGGCGCAGTGGTTAAGAATCCACCTGCTAATGCAGGGGACATGGTTCGAGCCCTGGTCCGGGAAGATCCAACATGCAACTAAGCCCGTGCACCGCAACTACAGAGCCTGTGCTCTAGAGTCCACGAGCCACAACTACTGAGCCCACTCGCCTAGAGCCCGTGCTCCTCAACAAGAGAAGCCACCGCAATGAGAAGCCCACGCCCTGCAATGAAGAGCAGCCCCTGCTCGCCGCAACTAGAGAAAGCCCACGAGCAGCAGCAGACCCAACAACAAAATTTAAATAAATAAATTTATAAAAAGTTTTAAAAAAACCTCCCCCCTTTAAAAATATTTTTTTGTGGAACACCTTGGTAGAACTCTCTGGCCCTGTGTTTTGTCCTAGATACAAACCACATGGTTTTCTGTCAGTTGAATGTCCTAAAGCCAGTAGCACCTCATCCTTAAGCTAGAGGTGGAAACGTTGAGGAAGGAACACAGCCCCCTGCATTTCTTCCTAGCCAAGACCAGTTTTATTTGAAAAAGGAAACATTTTTATTGTTAGTTTTCCAGTTCAGTACCAATTAAGATATCTACAGGGGGTGTGCCTTAAAGAGAGGAGATGATGGCTGTGGGTTCTCCGGCTTGGGGAAGGAGGAGGAAACTACAAGGTCAGGTTAAACCCTGCCTGCTGGCAGACACTTCGCTTGTGCCTTTCCATGCTGTGCTAGAATTTTGGCAGACATTCATCAGAGGTCAATAAAAGTTAAGTAAATGAAATGGGGCTCCGTTGTGGAGACATTTAATCGTTTCATTAGCATACTATTGTGTCCAGGTGCTTTGCCAAGTGTAGAGCCAGTTCTGGATTCATCTAATTCCTAACTGCTGGGAAAATAAGCGAGAGATTCTTCTGATGTTTCCCTTCTCTCTGTGCGGCCCTCCGCAGGCAGCTGGAGGAGGAGAGGCAGGCAAGATGGTTGCCGGAAGGGCTAACCTTCCGTGTTTTCAAAAAACAGATGGGATCTTCTAATTGATCTTTCTCTTGAAGGTTCTCCAGCCTGACTGGAGTTAAGGGGAGGTGAGAATGGGAGGTGGGGTACTGGGGTGCAGGTGGGGGGAAGTGAGGGAGCTCTGGGTTCTCCAGCTTGGCCAGGGTTTCAGAGTCTCTTGGGCATCTGGATCTATGGTCCAGAGTTGGGAGGGTGCTTTTGTATAATAGGCTTCTTGGAAAACATGGTTTGGGGACCAGCCACCTCTGGGAGATCTGTGGATTCATCTGTAGCCAAGCCCCACTAGGACAAGGCTTAAGGGGCTTCAGGAATGTAGAAAAGCAGTCCATGCTGGTTGTGCTGGGGACCCAACAGCCAGCGGTGTCCATGGGGAGGGAGAGGGGCCTGTCTGGG